CCCTGTATAGGGTTTCCAGGGCTGTAAATCTTTATGGGAGTAGAAAGCCTCATCTTTCTACTGTGGAACCGCTGGTAGTTTCAAACTGCTGACCTTGAGGTTAGCAGCCCAATTCGTAACCACCATGCTACCAGAGCTCCTTGCAGAATTCCATTAGAGAGATGCAAATCAAAACAACAATGAGATAAAAATCTCATCCCAGTATTAATAGCAAAGTTAAAAAACAACAACAAACAAAAACACAACAGAAAACAGCAAATGAATGCTGATGAGAGTGTAAAGAGACTGGACTCCTCATATACTGCTGGTGGAACTGTAAAATGGTACAACTACTGTGGAAAACAACATGGCACTTATTCAAAAAATTGGAGATAGAAATACCATATTATCCAGCAATCCCTCTACCTGGTATATGTTGTTAAGCGCTGTCGAATCCTTTCTGACTCAGCAATCCAATCCAGTTATAGGGTTTCTGAGAAACAGCTCGTGAGTTTGAACCACCTACCTTGAAGCCCAGTGCTTATCCTCCAGCGCCACACCAGGACTCCACTTGGTACACATCCTAGAGAAGAAATAAGAGCTTCAACATGAGTTGTTGTTGTTGTTGTTAAGTGCCGTCAAGTTGATTCTGACCCATAACGACCCTCTAAAGGGTTTCCAAGGAGCAGCTGGTGAGCTTGAACCACCAACCTTGCAGTTCAAATGACTTTGCAGTCTGACGCATTAGCCCACAGCGCCACACCAGGACTCCACTTGGTACACATCCTAGAGAAGAAATAAGAGCTTCAACATGAGTTGTTGTTGTTGTTGTTAAGTGCCGTCAAGTTGATTCTGACCCATAACGACCCTCTAAAGGGTTTCCAAGGAGCAGCTGGTGAGCTTGAACCACCAACCTTGCAGTTCAAATGACTTTGCAGTCTGACGCATTAGCCCACAGCGCCACACCAGGACTCCTCAACATGAATAGATTCATGGCATTTTAGTCACAATAGCAAAACAATGGAAACAACCTAAATTAATGGAAGAATAGATAAACACACTTGGGTACATATGCACAATGGAATATTACATAATTTTAAAGAATAATGATGAATCTGAGAAACACGTCATAACGTGGATGAACCTAGAGGATATTATGCTGAGTGACTGTTGTTGTTGTTGTTGTTAAGTGCCTAGTCAATCACAAAAGGACAAAGTGTATGTTGTCACCATTGTGAAAAGTCAAGAAAAGATTTTTATACTAAAGGAAACATTCTTTGATGGTTATCACGAATGGGTGGGAAGAAGGTGGTAATTTACTGACTAGAGGGTAGACACATTTAATGTGGGTGAAGGGGAAGGCAATCTATAATAGAAGGGAGGTTAGCAAAATAAAAATATAGAGGCGGACATGGGAGGAGTGGTAAAGTTAAGGTAACTGAAGTAACTGCTGTTATATACACAATCCTGCAATAATGGAGATCTACAAGTAGACACATGGATAGAAACGCAGGCTGAATGGTGTGGGAGGGAGACTGGGAGTATGTACACAATATTTATAGGTTTAACAGAGGATATTTGTACATGAGCTCTGGTAGTGTACTGGTAGCGTAATGGTTACAAGTCGGGCTGCTAACCTCAAGGTCAGCAGTTTGAAACTACCAGCAGTTCTGCGGTAGAAAGATGAGGCTTTCTGCTCCTGTACATATTTATAGCTTTGAAAACCCTATACAGGGTCACTATGAGTCGGAACCAACTGCACAGCACACCACCACCACCATTTGCCCTTGCTGCAAATACATCCATGAATGTGGTGGCGCGTACAGGAGGCAAAGTTATAAAAATGTCTTACACATAACCGAACCCCTTGCTGGAATGAGTCCCTGGGCCTGGGGGCTCAGTACCATAGTCTCGAGGGACACCATGGTCAGCTGGCAAAACAGTCCACAAAGACAATGTTCTACATCCTACTTTGGTAAGAAGCAACTGAGGTGTTAAATGAGTATCCACCTAAGGTGCAACTATTGGTTTCTCCCTGTCCAGAGGTAAAAAGGGTGATGAAAATCAAAGATGCATGAAAACAATTAGTCCAGTGGAGTAATGGACCATGTGATTATCAGTCTTCATGACCCTGGGACCAGAACTAGATGGTGCCACTATCACTGCCCTGAAAGGGATCATATTAGAATGTTCTGGATAGAGTGGGAGAAAAATATGGAACAGAACTCAAAATAGCAAACAAACAAACAAAAAAACAGGCTTACTGGTCAGATAGAGACTGATGGAACCCCAAGACTATGGCCCTCAGTCACCCTTCAGGTCTGGAACTAAATTCATTCCCATGGCTCAATTTTCAGCCCAGCAGTAGGTCTTTAAGTGGAACAATAGCACTAGTGAAGGAGGTGTTCACACCTTAGAGTAATTTTAGATCAAAAGGGCAGCATGTACCCAAGGACAAAGTTCAGAAGGGTTGGGAAAGAAGGAGGAATGGAAAGAAGAAACACAGAGAGGAAGTGGGATAAGTGATATTACACTGACAGGATTATAGTCAATGAAATGGAACAAAATGTGCATGAATTGTTGACTGTAAAACTGATGATCTGCTCTGTAAACCTTCACCCAATTCACAAATAAAACGTTTAAAAAGGAAGAGTTAGGAAATACTGCCTTATCTGAAAGAAATGGGACACCCCTGAACCTCACAGCCAGAAGGCCTTTTACTGGTCTTCAGGCACCTGAGAGTCAGTCAGTCCTAAATGTCAGTCATCATTGTTGTCAACTGGCCCTGGGATTCCATGGGCACCTGCCTCTCTTTCCCTACTCACTTCTTCAGCAGTTAAGCCAGACTTGGGTGGGGCTAGAGGTACAGAGGTAAATGGGACTCAAGGCTGTCCCAAAGGGATAACATGGTGACAGAGGACATGCAGGGGCTGGGTCCAGATCTGTCCTTACTTAGTAAACCATCACCTAAATCACAATAAAAAATTGAAGGAAAAAAAAAAACACCTGTGCAGGATTGAGTCTGGTTGCTCAGGGCTTCAGAGTAGTGCGGGTGCAGTCTCTTGCACATTGGCCTTTACTGCTTCCCAAGCGCTGAAAACCATTCCCAGCCACATATCCATTCCCTCAAGAGCCTGCAAGGTTCCCAACATCACCCGATTTCTCTCCTTTTCATAGGATGGACAGTTCTGTGGTCACCCGTTGAGAGCAGCGCCTGCTGGGACTTGGAGTGCCTAGGGCAAGACTGGGCCCAGTGAATCAATCCCTCCTTTCATTCCTCACAGGCTGTGTTGTGTCTGCAGAGCTTTGGACAGAGACAGTTTTATCACAGTTGCTTACAGTGGGTGATGGTGATTCAGTATCAAATGTACCCACAAGAGATGTCTCCAGAGGCAGCCCAAGTGCAGTGAAGTTCTGGGCCTTGAATGAGGACTGGGCTGCTGACTAGCTCAGCCACCCACTGCCTGCAGTCTCACACAAGCCCCTTCACATTCTGGGCCAGGGTTTGGGTACATTAAATCGGCTGCACCCCTTCACTCTCCGGACCTAAAATTTCCAGGAACTAGGCTCCTAAACCTTGCTCCCCACATAAGTCTGTTTCCTATCTTTTCAGCGTTGAAGGAGGTACACTCTCAGTCATCCCAGCCAGAGTTGTTGAGAGGTATATGTTCTTCCTGCTGCCTAGAATCCTTTTTCTCTCCGGGCCAAGTCTTATTTTATCCCTTACGACCCAACTCAAATGCTGCCAGCTCGGGAAAGCTAGGCCTCTTCCCCTCAACGGCTTCCTACTTTTACTTTTTCATTTCGCTGTCACACTAAGTGTGCTCGTGTCTGTGTCGACTCCTTTCCTAGATTTGAGATCCTCGAAGGCAGAATACGGGTGTGAGGCATTCTCTGTGTCCCAGTTTAGGGCCCGAACTTGGTCGGGGGTGGGAGGGTGTCGCCTAGCGTCCGTTACTGTTGAATGCGGTCCAGGTGAAGTAGGGTTAAGGAACCCTAGCCCTGAAGGCCCAGCCTTCGGAGCGCACCAGTAGGTGCAGGGGAATCCGTCTCAGAGGCTCCGACCCCAGGTTCTTATTCCTGACAGAAATCGGGGCCTCTACGTAGGTGACTGTTCTAGATGGCGAGTTGGCTGAGTAGATCTTGAGGAAAATGCACCGCATTTGCGCTCAGTTCTCCCCTAAGAACGCTCTTAGTACAACCCGGGGAATCCCCCGCCGCTGCGCGCCTCCTGACGTCACGGAGTTCCCGCGAGGACCCGCCCACGTCCTGGCCACACCTTCTTCGGCGGCGTTTGCCAGAGGTGCTGGCGGGAGAGAGCGGCCATGGCAGAACACCGCGACCCCTCTGTCCCAGATGCCCCCGTCGCCCCCTGGAAACGCCACATTGTTCTTCAGCTGCGGCGGAGGGATCGCACTCAAAAGGCACTCTTCCTGGAGCTGATGCCGGCCTGTGAGTGCACCCACAGGGGCTTAGAAGATGGCTTTTGAGCGGGCTTAAGGCGTGGGGAGAGGGTTTGTGGGACTCCTTCTGTTGTGCTCAAGCATACCATCGCCCTTTCGCTCCCAAGCCCCCTTGTGTGTGCGCTGAACTATATACACTGTGTGGCATGCCCCACTTTAGACTGGCCAGAATTTCTGCCCAATGTATTCCAGGCTCCGCTTGGAGCCCGCCTTCTTATCTCCGCCTGCTACCCCAGGTGTCCAGGCTCTCCTCGTCCCTTCGGGCTAGCCCAGGGTCTGCCCACAATCGATGAATTCGTTAGCAGTTGTTGATTTGGGGCTCTCTTGTGTCTTGCCATCCCTACGGTTCCCAGGGTAGGGCCCAAAGCCCAGTGAAGGACTGGCAGGACTGCCCAGAGCAGCCTCTTAGTATAGTGAACCAGTGAAATTGAGTTATAGGGAGGAAGTTCTGTGTCCCAAGCTCTGCCACCGATATGTGGTCATGATGCAAGTTATGGAACACTTCCGTGCCCAGTGAGAAGCAGGGGCCCTAGGCTGCATGACGTGACTGGTTGAGCCCCAGCAATCAGATGGTCACAGAATTGAACCCCTCCAGGCAGGTGGTTGGAGGGGGTGTGGTCAGTTCCAGGAGAGAAAACAGGTGTGCCTACGTGGGTAGAGTCTTTGACCACCTTCACTGCACCTGAGGTTGTGTCTTTGCAACTAAATGTGTAACCACAATCCCTTCCACGCCCTCACTATACCTAATCATGGCTGCTGCTTCTCCTCCCTTCCCCAAACTGACTTTACTGCTCTTGCCCTGGGAGATTTCTCTGCACCTTTCCAGGCTGCTAGACCTCTCCCTTTAGAGCTATGATACCAACCCCTGCCTCCAGGCAGCCTCGCTTCACTGCTCTGATGGACTGTGTTGTTGTTGTGAAGTGCTATTGAATAACTTTGGACTCATAGTGATGCTGTAAAGTTTCTGTGTAGTGCTGGAACCATCCAGTTTGAGGGAGGAGTTGTGTTCCAGCCCACTCCCACGAGCTGCAGAGACTGAAAGTCCAGTCCTGCTTTGTGGTCTTGGGCAGGTCCTATCCCTATGCCTCAGATTTTTCAACTGTAATCTGGGGGTAATATTTTTAGACATGTTAGAGGGCCACTTTAGTGCCCTGGGGACTGGGTTGAGGGGAAAGGAGCTGAGGAGGTAGGTCTACCATTCATTCCTGGACCCTGCCCCAGAACTGGTGAGAAAAGAGAGATTGCCATGGATGAGTGGACAGATGTATTCTAGAGACTGTGACAGAAACTAGCAATCTTAACGAGGTTTGCTGAATAATTGCCTAAGGACTTTCTTTTTGGGCCTGGGGGGAACCTCACATCAAACCTGGGGAGTTTAGGATTACTTTTCAATCTGTAAAGGTAGAGCCCCTAGACTAGGTGAAGTGGATTGCCCAAGAACACAGGGTGGCGGAGGATCTGTTTCATTACTCTGTCCTCCCCTTGGGGCCAAGCCCTGTCCTAAAGGAGGCATGAGTCAGTCCTGCCCTCAAGACCTCCAGCAGGCAGGGCCCAGCCAGCTCCTTTTCCAACAGTGGTTGTTTCTCTTTGTCGTTGTGGGAACAGGCTCTCTTCTCCTGGAGGGGTGGGGGTAGAAGCTAGTGCTCTGAGGAGGCTTTGGGTTTTGTGGGGGGCTGTATTAATACTCCCCAGTCATGGAAACAGAGCCCATGGAAACAGAAACCTTTCCAGAGTTTCCCCATTTCTGATGTCCCTGGCCTCTTGTAGCCCTAGCATCCAGAGAGTATGCCAGGGGTCTGCTTGAAAGTGTTTCTGTCCCAGAATCACTCTTTGCACCTCCAGATAACCGTCTCCTGGAGAAGGCTGAACTGCTGGTCCAGTTCTCAGAGAAGCTGCACCCAGAGCCAAACGATGTCACTTCCACCACCCACCAGGGGTCCTGGTGAGTGTGTGTCCATGGTTACAATGGGCTGCCTGTGTCTGGATCCTGCCCCCACTGTGTATGCTGGGCTCATTCTCTCCCTGGAACCTCATTGGCCCCTGTCTGATGCTGTCTGGGGTAGTGGTGGTGGGTAGGGAGTCTACTAAGCCTTTCTTCAGGCCAGCTGAATAAAATCTCCTTTCTTCCCAGCACATCTTAGTTCATCTCTGCATTTGTCCTGATCTCTCCTTCCTTCCTCCTCACTTCTCTTTTCCCCTTGTCTGTGTTTCTCTCTCCTTGCTCCTTACCTGTTGCCTGCAGAAGGAGTCTTACAGTGGGTGAAGGTGAGAACCAGGAATGGGTAGGGGCTCAGGGTTGGGAGGTGCTTCTTGAGGGATCCTTGGCCAGGGAACCCAGGGCCTGAGGGAATCTCAGAGCAGTAGTGCCATGATAGTTCACTTCTAGATACTTGTGCTTTCCTCTGATGGCATCTGGTTTCCACCTTCCCTGGAGAAAAGTGAAGAGTTCTTGCTTTAAGCTTTTGGGCACTGAAGTGAAGGGGAGGTGGGTGGGTGGGTAATGAGCACCACTCTGATTGGTTAGCAGGGAGGAAGACTCCAGAACTGATTCAGATCAAGTCCCATCATCAGCCACTCTGAGAGTGAAGTGGCAGGAGGAAGAAGAGGGGCTCCGACTGGTCTGTGGGGAGGTAGGTAGGCTGGACAGAAGTGAATGGGGAGGGGTCAAGATGCAGGTCTCTAGGGGGAGATGTGGTTCTGGGAGCTAACAAATGAGTGAAGGTGCTATGCTGGCTGCATTTCTTAAGTTCTTTGCTGCAAGCATTGATGGAGTGAGCCCCAGCGGTGTCTCAGGCCCTGCTCTGAGCCTGAGCAGGAGTCAAAAGTGCTCTATAGGCTGCCTCTGGCCACTCAGGATGAAGTGGGCTCCAACTGCAGCCAAAGGGAGTGAGGTGAAACCTTAGGGAAGAGTGTGAAGTGGTGCAGTGGGCCGGCACCCCTTCTCTCCCTCCTGAAGGGCTACACTAGGGCTACACTACTCTGTTCATCCCTCATACCTGTGTCCACTCCTCATTCTTTATCCACCCCTCCCACCCCCCGAAACTCCAGGGCCTAATCCCTACAGTTGATACTCACTACACATTTGCAGACAGTAACTAAAATGGGAGTCCGGGTGTGGCACTGTAGTGTAAACACACTGCTAACTCCTCAGAAACCGTATACAGGGTCACTATGAGTAGGAAGCAACTCAACAGCACTTAACAATAACCTTCAATACAGAGTGTGGTACCCCACTCTGAATTTCCTTCTTTACCTCCTTTCTCTCCTGTCTTCCTTCCTTCAAATGTGGGCATTCTTGGAGCTTGTCGTGAGCTCTGTTTCCCCTTTCTTTCCACACATGTCCTCCCCAGGTTCACTCACTGCCTGCCAAGACTTCAGGGCCTTTCTCTTTCAGATTTTGGCTTCAGCCCAGCCCTCTCTTCTCAGCACCAGCCACTTCTCACCCAGCCGCTTTCCAGGCCTCACTCCCCACTCCGATCACATGGGAGCTGATCTGCCAATACTGGGCTAAGCTTTGTCTTGGTTGGTCCTCTACAACTTTAAGGGTGCAGAGGAGGAAACTGAGACCCCTTAGGGTAGCCGGAGTAGCAGACCCTGAGGGCCTGGGGATAGCCTTACAGGAAGTGCCTGTGTCGGCTCAACCTACTCCGTGCATTTGCACTGCACCCAGATGGCCTACCAGGTGGTGGAGAAGAACGCAGCCCTGGACACCCTGGAATCGGAGCTGGAGGAGCGGCAAAGCAGGTGAGGCAGGTGGGTGGGAGAGGGACCGCGCTCACCTCTGGGCCATCTCTGTTGCTGTGTCTCCAGAAGGGCTTGAGAACTTTCCCCACGTTCCCAAACAGCCCCCTAGACTTGTGGCTGCTCTCAAGGAGGCCCACGGCAGGGCTCAGAAGGCTTGGTTGACGGCTTTTCTTTAGCTAATTGGCTGGCCACATGGCCTTGGCAAGTTTGTCGCGGCCGTGAGACCGGTTCCCACAGAGGTGGTGGAGGAGCCTCCTGCTCCACCATTCGCTCTCTCCACCTCCCAGGCTGGCGGGGCTGGAGGCCAGCGTAGCCCAGTTGAAAGAAGCGCGGGCGCACCTGGCAGAACAAGTAGAAGTCGGGCGGGCTCGGAACACCGCGCAACGGGCAGCCTACGACACGCTGCGCGTACACGCCGGCCTCCAGGAGGCAGAACTGCGTAGGCTCGAGGAAGAGGCGCGCGACCTGCTGGATAGGCTCGTGCAGCACAAAGCGCGCGCCGCCGCTGAGCGCAACCTGCGCAACGAACGCCGGGAGAAGTAAGGACCCTGGGTCCCACCCCTCCAGAAAGGGAGGAGCCTGGCCCAATTTACATCTAAAGCTGTGACCCACCCTCTCTAAGTGAGGGGGCCAGGCCCCGCCCCGGCCCTAGGGCTGGAGCATCCCAGTGGGTGCTGAGGTCGGCGTTTGAGGTGCTTTTCAATCCCCCAGGATCAAGCAGGCGCGGGTGTCCCTGGAGTTGAAGAAGGCTGCCAAGCGGACTGTGAGCATCAGCGAGTAAGAGCAGGGATGAGCCAGGACTTGCCCAAATGGAGTCTTTGTTGCCGGGTCTGATCCCCAGGCTCTGGAGCCGCCCTGCCCTTGCCTACATTCCCCGCGGTATCCAATTAGCTGCTTAGGGTTCCGGCGCAGACAGAGTCCACAAGATACGTGAGAGTCACCACACGAGTGCTCACACCTATTCACTTCCCTGAGTCTTTGCTGTTTTACCATGTCAAGTGCTGGGACAGGCAGGGGCTGGCCGGGACCCTTGGCTTTCCTAAGCTTCATTTTCTCTCCCAGAAACCCAGACATCCTCCCGGATGGGGTCAGGGACAGGACGGAGACTCCAGTACTGGCTGCTGAGCTGGAGTCCCTGGAGAGTGAGGCTCGTGAGAAGTGGAAGCGGCCCTTCAGGTGAGGACCCAGGTGGCTGTTTCCAAGCCCCACGGTGGCCCCTACCCCGGAGGCTGACAGCCTTTTTTTAGGACCTCCAGATTAGGAGGGGGTTGTGGGTACAACTCAGACCTCCCCCATAGGTAGCTCTGACCTCCAGTGCTACTTGGGGTGTAGGGACTTCAGCCCCTCTATGCGTACTCCTTCTATTCCCAGGACCAGAGCCCAGAGGCTGGTGAAAGTGTCTCACCTTGGGGGAACCTGTGGGCAGGGCCTGTGTGTGCAGGCATAGGCGTGCAAGCGTGAGCACGCATGAGGGCATGAGAGCATGTGTGTACAGGGGCATGTGCAGACACCTGCTTGAACAAGTGGGGCGGGATTGGACCTTCTTGAGCTTCTCTCTCCCACCCCACCCTGGTCCTTGGTGTCCCTCCATAGATCAGTCTAGATGTGCCTGTCATTAATGCTGCTCCTCCCCATTCCATCCCCCAGCGAAAGGCTCTTCTTTAACCTTTCCTTGCAGGTCCCTGGTGCCCAGGCCTTAGGGTAGTGAAGGAACCCTGGGGAGGGCCAGGAGGTCCCCTGGTCCCAAAGTCCTTGGCAGGACTAGTGGGCCAAGTCACTCTCGGATGATCCCTCTTGAGATCATTCAGCAGGCTTCCCTCCCCTCCCCTCGCTGCCCCAATCTTGTGCTATTCCAGCTTGTGGGAACCTTTACCCCCACCCCCCTTCCTCATAGGCCCCAGCACAGTCTCCCAGGAAACTTTATTTTGTGGTCACTTGAGGGGTGGGGCAGTGCTCACTGTCATGGCTGAGACTTTGAGAGACTTTCATTGTTAAATCCCTCCCTACCTCCTCCTTCCTGGACTGGTCTGAGGCACCCTGTGCTTCTGGCCTCAGAGGAGTCGTGTCCCTGACTCAGACTTGAGAGACTGACCCTCCACGGCCCTAGCAGGGTGTAGGCACAAGTGCTGGCACTGCCCACCAGCCAGGCGCTCAGTGCATCTCTCTCATGGTTCCACCCCAGGTCTGCCTCCGCCACCTCCCTGACGCTGTCCCACTGTGTGGATGTGGTGAAAGGTCTCCTGGAGTAAGTGTGTGTGTGCCTGTGAGTGTGTACCCACACCTGGTGGGCTCCTTGGAGCCCTGTGTCAGGCTTGTCTGTGTGCGCAGCTCTGTCTGTCCACCTGGATGTCGCTCAGCTGTTTGCGTGTGAGTCTTTACCAGGCCCCAGAGGCAGGAGGAGCCCAACCCCTGCCCAGTTGTCCCCCAGGCTCTGTCCCTCATCTAAGGTGTCATGGGGGACACAGAGCTCTAGTCTGGGGCTGGACAGGAGCCACCAATCCATTGGGAAACGTGCTTAGACATGTCAAGGACTTGTACAGGGTCACAGAATCAAGCAACAGCCAGGCCAGGATGGAGACCCCAGTCCCTGTTTTTTGGCACCCACTGATCCTGCCTAGCCTTTGCCTGTCTGTGTGTCCTTCCCATCTGGTCTCCACCCTGACCCCTGGATGGAGGCTGGGTTGGGGAATGTGCTTGCTACCACCTGCCATGTCTGCCTTCTAGTGTTGCTACCTCAGAGGGGCTTGAGGCTGCTACATCCTGTCTTGTTGACCCTTCCCCTGACCCCTCCCCAGCTTCAAGAAGAGGCGAGGCCATTCAGTTGGGGGAGCCCCTGAGCAGCGATACCAGAGCATCCCTGTGTGTGTCGCTGCCCAAATTCCTACCCGGGCTCAGGATGTGCTGGTAAAAGGGGGAAGGGGCTAGGCCAGGTGCCTGGGGTCTGAGATGGGAAGTACAGACCCTAGGGGTGGTCTGAAGGAACCGGGGGAGCATGCTGGGATGCTCAGCAGGAGCAGTTGTTTTTCTTCCACAGCTGTGGTGGGAGCAGCTGAGTGTTTACTAATGGATGGGGGTTGGGGGGAAGGAGGGGCCACTCGTCAGGGTTTGGATGGAGGTACAACAGACTGTGTGTGCATTCATGTGAGGGGCTTCAAAGTTTGTGGGATATTTTTGTAACTTTTAATTCCATTTTCCCATGAACTTTTTGAAGCCCCTTTGTCTGAACAGGGTGCATGTGAGTACACAGGGAGGCATGTATGGGGCGCACCTGGCACCAGCTTCCCCTTTACTCCACAGGATGCCCACCTCTCTGAGATCAATGCTGTTTGTTTTGGCCCCAATAGCAGCCTCTTAGCTACTGGAGGGGCTGACCGCCTTATCCGCCTCTGGAATGTAGTGGGAGGTAAGACTCCCTCCCCTCAGGCCAATCTAAGGCCAAACCCTTTCTCAGCTTGCTCCTTGGTGGGCAAAGATCTTGGACTTCATTGGGTCTTCCCACCTGGAACATGCCTGTGGGACTTTATAACCTAACAAGAGGGAGAGGCCAAGACGTAAGCTTCATTCCACTGAAGACAGAGCCTCCAGCCTCTGGGCAGGTCAGACCTGCACTGTGAGAAGGGCTGGGCTCAGATGATGGTCTCTGTGGGGGAGGGGGACTAGGCCCTGCAGGGACAGACCTTTGAGGAGCAAGCCCCTGGGACCCACCAGACTGTCTTCACTTTTGACATCACTTTAGCACTCAGAACTCAGTGAAGTGACAAAGAACTACTTGATGCTGAGCTCTGTAGAGAGACTGGGCAGTCAGAGCCAGCTCCAGGAGGCTTCCTAGAGGAGGGACGTCCCCAGCTGGCCTGGCCAGGGTTCGCTATATAATCTAGGGACATTCGGTCTCTTTGGTCCTCTGGACCCAATGGAAGTCTGTTTCCACTCATAGTGACCCTATGTGGAACACAGTAGAACTGCTCCTTAGAGGGTTCCAAGACGATTCATTTTTATAGGTGCAGGCAGCCTCGTCTTTCTCCCGGGGAGTGGCTGGTGGGTTTGAACCACTATCTTTGCAGTTAGCAACTTAATGCTTAACCCACAGCACCATCAAGATGCCACAGAGAACACTGGTGATGTTGTACACTAAGCACTGGACTGCTAACCACAAAGTCAGCAGTTCAAACCTACCAGCCACTCCTCAGAAAGATGAGGCTTTCTACTCCCGTATAGATTTATAGTCTCTGAAACCCTATACAGGGTCACTGTTAGATGGAACCCACTTAGAGGCACCTCCACGGCACATAACTACAACTGCCCTTTGAAAAGACCAGCTGCTCTCTGGGGCCCCTTGCTGGTTGTAAGGGGAAGTGTAGCCTCCAGCCTAGGCCCCCAGGACAGGCTTGGAAGAGAGGATCCTCCCACTCAGCCCCAGCCTCCATCTTCTGAAGTTAATAGCATTATTGCACTGTCCCATCCCTCAGGTCGCCTGGAAGCCAACCAGATCCTCGAGGGAGCTGGTGGTAGTATCACCAGTGTGGATTTTGACCCCTCGGTGAGGTGACTTTGCCCCAGTGGTATAGCCTGTTCCCTACCTCCCCCGCCCCCATTCTCTACGGGCTGGGGCAGATACCCCTCAGGGCACTGGGAGCTCTGGGACTTGAGGGAGCCCCATGGGTATAGTTGAACTGGGTCCCTGGACTCCTATGCAGACCCTCCTCCATAGGCCTAGAGACTCCTCTGCCTGGCTTCTTGGTGACCTGGGAGCATGAGGAGCTCTGAGGCAGCCCATAGCCCACCTCTGTGGCCTGCAGGATGTGTTGCCCATAGGCAGGCCCAGGTTCAGAACCTCTCCTCTTTCTTTCCATCTCCCCAGGGCTCCCAGGTATTGGCGGCTACTTACAACCAGGCCGCCCAGCTTTGGAAGGTGGGGGAGGCACAGTCCAAGGTGAGCCTGCCTGGAGAGGCTGCCTGGGAGGTCAGGGGTCATGCCTGAGGACTGGTAGGTGTTACAGTGTCTTGACCATGCCCTTGACCATACCTATGATGGGGGCTGGGGACAGGAGACACTATCTGGACACACGGACAAGGTGACAGCTGCCAAATTCAAGCTAACAAGGCACCAGGCTGTGACAGGGAGCCGAGACCGAACAGTGAAGGAGTGGGACCTCGACCGTGCCTACTGTGAGGCCCAGCACCCACCTCCCACCCACTGGGAAGCCCTGGGCCTGGACATGAGGGCCCTCAGCCTGGTCTCTGGGGTCCCAAGGGTGAAACATCCCACAGCCTGCCTGCCTTCTCTGTCCTCCATCCTTGCTCTCTGCTTGGTTTCTTGGAAATCTCAGGCTTTGGGTGGGAGAAGTGGAGAGAGCCCTAGACTGGGAGGTGGGAGGCCCAGCTTCTAAACTTGGGAGGACACTGCCGCTCTGGCCCTCAGCTTCCCTGTATGTCAGGTGGGCTGGCTCCCAACAGCCCCTCTCTGAGGCCCTGAGGCTCTGCTTCTTGGTTCCCAGGTTCCAGGACCATCAATGTCCTTTCCTACTGTAATGACGTGGTTTGTGGGGATCATATCATCATCAGTGGCCACAACGACCAGAAGATCCGGTTCTGGGATAGCAGGTAACAGACAGTGGGCTGTGGGTGGGGTGATGGAGGCCTGGGGGCAGAGTTCCCACATTCTTTTTCTTTTCTGCGGCTATGGGAAAGTCAGAATTTTTTCAGTCCAGATAGTTCATTCCCCTGGAGAGGGAGTGACTTGCCCAAGACCACAGGCAGGTGGGTCTGTTGAGGGCATCTGGTGGGTGTAAAGCTGTGGGTCTGGCGCTGTGGTGTCATCATTGAGCTCATCTGTTCTCAGGCAGCTCTTCCACCTTAGTGGCCCTTGCTCCAGCAGCGGGCTGTACCTGGGTCTTGATAATCACGTACTTTCTCCTTATCAGTACCGACTCATAGCTAACCTGTGCACAACAGAACGAAACACTGCCCGGTCCTGGGCCAACCTCACAATTGTTGCCACGCTTGAGCCCATTGATGTTGCCACTTTGCCAAACCATATTGCTGGGGGTCTTCCTCTTTTTCTCTGATCCTCCATCTTACCAAACATGATATCCCTCTCCAGTGACTGGTCACTCCTGACAATATGTCCGAAGTACGAGAGACGAAGTTTGGCCATCCTGGCCTCCAAGGAGCACTCTGGCTGCACTTCTTCCAACACAGATCTGTTGGTTCTTTTGGCAGTCCATGGCACTTTCAATATTCTCCTCCAACACCATAACTCAAAAGCATCAATTCTTCTATGGTTTTCCTTATTCACTGCTCAGCTTTCGCATGCATATGAGGTTATTGAAAATATCATGGCTTGGGTCAAACATACCTTAGTCCTCAAGCTGACATCTTTGCTCTTCAACACTTTAAATAGGTCTTGTGCAGCAGATTTGCCTAATGCAATACGTTGTTTGATTTAACTGCTGCTTCCATAAGTGTTGATGGTTAATTCAAGAAGAATGAAATCCTTGACAACTTCAACCTTTTCTCCATTGATAAGAATGTTGTTTGTTGATCCAATGGTGAGGATTTTTGTTTTCTTTACATTGAGATGTAATCCACACTGAAGGCTGTACTCTTTGAGCTTCATCAGAAAGTATTTTAAGTTCTCTTCACTTTCAGCAAGCAAGGTTATATTATTTGCATATCGCAGGTTGTTAATGAGTCTTCCTCCAATCCTGATGCCATGTTTTTCTTCATATAATCTAGCTTCTTGAATTATTTGCTCAGCATACAGGTTGAATAAGTATGGTGAAAGAATACAACCCTGTTGCACATCTTTCTTAATTTTAAACCATTCAGTGCTTCTTGGTCCATGTACAGATTCCTCATGAGCACAATTAAGTGTTCCGGAACACTCATACTTTGCAATGTTGTCCATATCTTGTCATGATCCACACAATCGAAAGCCTTTGTGTCATCAATAAAGCACAGGTAAACGTCTTTCTGATATTCTCTACTTTCAGCCAAGATCCATCGGACAGCAGCAATGATATCCCTCTTTCTACATACTCTTCTGAATCTGGATTGAACCTCTGAAAGTTCTCTGTCAGTGTATGCTTGCAGCCGTTTTTGTATTACCTTTAGTAAAACTTTACTTGCATGGGATTGTGCGATGATTTCTGCATTCTGTTTGGTCACCTCTCTTTGGAATGGGCACAAATACGGATTCTTCCAATCAGTTGTCCAGATAGTTGTCTTCCAAATTTCTTGGCAGAGATGAGTGAGTGCCTCCTGTGCCATCTCACTTTCTTGAGAGATTTCAATTTTTAGTGCATCAATTCCTGGAGCCTTATTCTTTGCCAATTCCTTCAATGCACCTTGGACTTCTTCCTTTAGTGTCATTGGCTCTTGATCCTATGATACCTCTTTAAATGGTTGAACATCAACCATGTCTTTTTGGTACAGTGACTCTGCATATTCCTTCCATCTTCTTTTGATGCTTTCTGCATCATTCAATAATTTGCCCAGAGAATCCTTCAATAATAAAAGTCGAGGCTTGAATTTTTTCTTCAGTTTCCCCAACTTGAGAAATGCTGAGTGTGTTCTTCCCTTTTGGTTTTCTGACTCCAGATCTTTGCACATTTCGTTGTAATATTTGACTTTGTCTTCTTGAGCTGCCCTTTGAAATTTTCTGTTCAGCTCTTTTACCTCCTCATTTCTTCCATTTGCTTTAGCATCTCTACACTGGAGAGCAAGTTTCAGTGTCTCTTCTGACATCCATTTTGATCTTTTTCTTCTTCCTTGTCTTCTTAATGACTTTTTGCTTTCTTCCTGTATGATGTTCTTGATTATCATTCTTTAATCAAAAAGATTTTTTTAAAACTGTTTTTTCAAACATAAGAGCTCAACTTGTGTTTATAGTAGATTATAAACCATTGCTGGAATCAGTGCTGGGCCTGACTAGGCTTCTTCCAACTGCTTTGCAGTGATTGCTGTTGGAAGCCCTTTCTGCCCTCCCCATGTACAGACTCAGACTTCTCAGCACTTTTTCTCCTGTGCTTATTTTAGTGACTTAAGGCTTCCAGGGGTCCCAGCTCTCCAATCAAAGGCTAAGATCCTTGTGGAGGAGCAGGCTGTTGTTATTGTTAGGTACTGTTGAGTTGGTACCGACTCATAGTGACCTTATGCACAACAGAACGAAAAACTTCCTGGTCCTGGACCAAACTCACAATTTTTGCCACGCTTGAGCCCATTGGCAAAAGGAATGCCTTTGGACTTTGTTAGTTGGGAGAGCTACCTTGCCCAGCCTTATCCTATCATAAATGATGTGGGTGGGCTGTTCCTCATCCCTGTTCCTGCTCTGCAGGGGGCCCCGCTGTACCCAGGTCATCCCCATGCAGGGCCGGGTCACCTCCCTGAGCCTCAGCCACGACCAGCTGCATCTGCTCAGCTGTTCCCGTGACGACACACTCAAGGTCATCGATCTGCGTGTTAGCAATATCCGCCAGGTGTTCAGGTACCACTCCAGTGCCCACTGATCCTGGGCTGGGACAGCTGGGCCTCTCTTACCCTATAAAAGACACTCTAGGATCCTGTCAGCTGGGGCCCTGCCTGAAGGCCCTTCTAGACCAGAGTCTGCTTAGGTGCCCAACCCCTTAATAGGAAACTCTTGGATTTCCTGGCTGAGGGACAGGGACTACCTTCATTCTGAACCGAAACCTTGTCTGTCCTCAGGGCTGATGGCTTCAAGTGTGGTTCTGACTGGACCAAAGCCGTGTTCAGGTGCGTCTGTGAAAGTCTGCCTCTTCCTTACTGTGCCCATCTGACCATGTGTGTGTTTGTCCTTACCTCTGAAACCTTCTCTCTGTTGTGGCCACCACAGCCCAGACAGAAGCTATGCACTGGTGGGTTCCTGGGATGGAGCCCTTTATATCTGGGACGTAGATACGGGGAAATTGGAGAGCAGCCTTCGTGGGCCACACTGGTGAGCACCTGTCTGTATAGCCCTGGGGCTAGGGCCACCCCCTGCTAAGCTGATTCCCAATTCGATTCTGATGTGCTTGGGACTAGCTGTGTTCTGCGCCCTCCCTCCTAGCAGAGCCTTCCTTGGTACACTTGGAGTCCATACTCTCCACAGCCTTCTGAGCCCGTTTGGTAGATGAGGGAGGGCCCTCAAACTGCCATGGTCCAAGTCCAACAGTGAGGGGCTGAGCCAAGGTGCCGGCTGAGTGCCTATGTCCTCTAAAGTTCTGCCTGTTCCTCTCCTCAGTGCTGCCGTCAATGCTGTGGCCTGGTGCTACTCGGGGAGCCATGTGGTGAGCGTGGACCAGGGACGGAAGGTTGTGCTCTGGTATTAAATAGAGTGCAAGTCCACAAGCGGTCAGGACAGCTCCCACTCCGTTGCTGGCCTCCAGCTCTGCATCAGAGTCTGTATGAGGGATGAGGGTGAGAACTGGCTGGTGGAAGTGGGATGGCCTCAGGGGACTTATTAGGAAGGCGCAAAGACTTGGCCCGTTGGTTTAGAGATGGGTTGGTTTGTGTATTTTTTTTGTAAATTTCTGTTTTTTAATCTCAATCTCTTGAGGAAAAAAAATACATTTAAACCAGTGTCTGCTTGCCTTTTTGTAGCATTCAGGGTATATAGCAAAGTCTTTGGGATGGGGGTAGGGAGATCCAGGCTGGGCCCCCCACCTTCACAGAATTGGGACAGCACCAAGTCAGCCTTTGCCTGGGGTGATGGTGATGTTTCAGAAATCTAATGGTGGAAACTGTCTGAAGATAAGCCAGAGGCAGCAAAGGCAAAACCAATACTTGGGCCTTCCTGGGGCAGGACCTGGATTGGGGAGGCACCTCTCAGGCTGAGGAGTCTGTGGAGCTACAAAGAGGAACTTGGGAGACTATCCAGGAGGACCATGGTAGAAAATGATTCTAAAAAACCAGAGAGACATCAAAGCCCTTGGCAGGCCTGATGTCACATTCTTAGTCCAGGAGCAGAATGGGAAGAGGTGTGGGAAATGACCTGTGTGTGTGTTGGAGAGGGCTTATGTTCCACCTGATTCTACCCATACAAGCCTCTAGGTATGAGGCAAACCAGACAGGGCAAAGCCAGGAGGGGCATAGAGCTCAGGGGTTGTAGAGGAGTCAGCAGGACAGCCATCCCCAGTCAGTGTGGCAGAAGGGACTCCTGTCCCTGAATGAGGAGGGCTGACCCCTTGGTGGAGCTTTGTTAAACTAGATTCAAAGATGGTTGCAGGATTTATTCTACAGCTTTTGACAGATTTCCTTATGTTTTCAGATGTTCTCTTGGGGATCGTTCCTAGTCTCAGGGTTTTAGAAATCATTTTCAGGATGTACAGGAGAGGGCAAAGATCATGGACTCTGGCTAGACTGACTGGGTCTGAATCTCACTTAGCTCCACTGTTTGTAGCTGAATGCTTTTGCACAAATTGCTTAGCATCTATGTTCCCTAGTTTCCCGTAAAATGGAATAACCATCCTTACCTCAAAGGGTTTTAAGGATTAAGTGCTTTCGTGTTTGAAAAGCTCCTGGGAAATGCTATAGGTCTTGGTTAAACATCAAGACCTATACTCTATCCTGGTGTGGCGCTGTGGGCTAATGTGCCAGACTGCAAAGCCATTTGAACTGCAAGGTCGGCGGTTCAAGCTCACCAGCTGCTCCTCGGAAATCCTATATAGGGTCCCTATGGGTCGGAATCAACTTGACAGCACTTAACAACAACAATAGTCTATGGTGCTGTGGGTTAATGCACTGAACTGCAAAGTCCCGCTCCTAGGATACCCTGTACAGAGTCACTTTGGGTTGAAATGGACTCAATGGCATTTAACAACAACATAATCTAACTCCCAGATCACACTCACTACTCTAGGCCCAGCTGTCCCCGAGCTCTAGGTGACATGTTCAGCTGCTTACTGGACATTAACCCCCATGCATGTTAGCATCTGTTTCCCTCACACCCCACAACCTTTGGGGCTCCAAAGCTGGATGCTGCTGTTTAACTCCATCCCTGCCTTTCCTAGGGGCCAGGTTTGCCTAGATTTGCTCGCTTTCCACCCACTCCCCTCCTTGCCATGGCCAGAGCGACTTTTTACGTTGTCTTGGTCACATGTCCAACCTTTGAAGTTGTTCTTTGGTCTTCAGAGAAACTCCTGGGCATGAAATTGGAAGTCCTTTGGATGAGACCTGCTGTCTCCTCCAGCTGTACTTTTGTTTTCTTCCATTCTAAATATTGTCGCACATGTGTTTCTCTGCCCCCACTCATATTTGTCTTTCAGGGTTCACTGAGGTGCACCCCCCACACACTGCCAGGCTGGACCAGCATTGCCCTTGGTCCCTGTGGTCCTTGTTGCTTGTTGCCCTCTATTTTGAGTCTGGTGTGGTGTTATAGGATCAGCACTGGACTGTGAACTGCAAAGGTCTATAACTGAAACCCAGCACAGCTCCTCGGAAACCCTAGATAGTGTTGCTGTGAATTGGAATCAACTCGATGGCACTTAACAACAATAATGTTGAGTCTAGTTTGTGCCCTAGAAGGGTCAGGATCAGGCCTGGCACAGACAAAAAACCTCAGGAATTATTTAGTAAATGATTTTCTAAGGACTCAGCAAGTAACAATTGAAGCTCCTAGGATTCTAGTGTTCTTTGAATCTAATACTTCTCCTGGTTCAGCTGCCCATCTCTGCACCCTAACGCAGCCCTCAGTCCTTGGTTCCTAGTGGCCACCAGGGGTCACCAGCTGTCTAGTCTCTGTTTAGGCTACGCCTTCTCCGGAACTCACATTGGGAAAGACCCGACCTGTACTTTCAGTATTGTCATTACTGAGTGCTTATGACATGTCAGTTCTTGGTAGAGTAGTGGATTATGAGAAGGGCTGCTCACAAGGTCAGTGGTTCAAATCTACCAACTGCTCCTCATGAGAAAGATGAGGCTTACTGCTCTCACAAAGGTTTACAGCCTCAGAAACCCTATACAGGGTAACGATGAGTCGAACCGACTGGCATACAACCACAATCACAACCCTCTTACATGAACCTTCTCTGCAACTTGAGGCTGGTCTGTTCACTAATTCCAATCACAAAGCCTGATTGCTCTTTTGGAGTCCTGGTATGGTGCTGTAGGATAAGCACTGGACTGCAAGGTCGGCAGTTCAAGCTCACCAGACATTCCTCAGATACCCTATGAGGGTGGTTATGAGTCAGACTGACTTGACGGCACTTAACAACATGATGTGTCAGGCCCGATGCTCTTTATGATTCCTGCAGTGTATCATTTATTTCTCCCAACCACTTCATCATCTCTTCTTTCACAGACAAGGAAATTGAGGTTCAGAGAGGTCATGTAGCTAGAAGTGAAACAGCTGAATGTGCCTTTTTAATTTTTTAACAAACTGTCAGAGAATGCAGACTCCCAGTTGGATCGGATTGGAAGGCATGTCTTCTCCCCCAGCGTTAAGTCCTTCCACACCTGGGCCTTCTCCCTGCTTTCCATTCTGGACCCGAGTGCCTATTGGTATAGCTCTTGCTTAATGGAGGAGCAAGTCTGGATGGATAGAGACAGACCAGGACATTCTAGGGAATGAAGAGGCTTGAGGAAGAGGGGCTGACATACACCAAGCAGGAGGGATGTTCAGAGGAGAGGCCAGTTGGAAGGCCCGTCACTCTAGTCTTCACAGTGTCTGTTCATGGAGCAGGTGGGACTCGAACTTAGTAAACTCAGACTTTCAGCCCTCTTCTGGCTTTCAGTACTCAGTGGTTGTCTTCCTGTACTGGGTCCCTAATGTCAAAACCGGAAGAGTCTGAGATAACCTACACCCTGGCTGTGTACATGAACTGAGACCCAGAGAGAGGGCAGGGGCTTGCTCAGGGCCACACAGCAACCTTGGGATAAGAACCCAGGTCCCTGAGTTCATATTTTTAAAAAAACTGAATTCAGGTTCCGCAGGAAGGGGGCTAGCCAGAACTTCTGGATGCCCATGGCACTTCTAGTTTCTGGTCCCAGTTGTGTTTTTCGGAGACATTTTGGATAAGAAATTTCCAGGCTTTCGGTCTATGAAATGAGGATAGAAATCCCAACTCCATCCCTGCCTAAGGCTCGAGGCCTCACCAAAGATGATGTACCCTTCCCCAGGGCTGCTCCTCAAGTGTGAATCTGCCTGTCTGCCTTGCCCAATCTGGGGCTTCAGTGAGTCTCAATCCGCGGAAGGAAGAGGAGCCCCCTGTGAGCACCTCAGTGGCAAGGATGGATCTGAGTTATCCGTGCCTTCATTGCCCAGAGCAAGGTGTGGGCAGCAAGTCTGCTGAACTGACTGTAGCAGCTGAATAGAGGCAGACTTGGTCCATAAGATGCTCTTAGGAGAAATCCTTACAGTACTTATACAGTAAGTATATGGACCTGTCTTGGTGTGAGATTCATACATAATGTCTGGGTACAGGCCATTGTCTCCTAATGGATGTACTATTAAGTACAAATATTTTCAGTTGATCAGTATATTAACTTATTTGTGCCTCTGAATCTCAGAAGTGTGTATTTCTTCTCACTCTCACTGTACAGGTGAGGAAAGCAAGACCCAGAAGAGTGAAGGGATGAGCTTAAGGTCACAGCTAATCTGAGTGGTTCCTGGGCCTTCATTTATGGCTTCAGGACTCTTTCCTACCCCTTGCAGAAGCAAGTGAAGAAAATGAGGGAGACTGGTAGGCAGTTGTTGAAGGAGTGTGAACCCTTTTCATGGGTTCATTTGTTGTTTCAGGATAAAAACATTCCAGGAAAACATTCCCAGACCAGAGCTCTCAGAAATAGATGTGGCAGAAGTACGACTTGTGGTTTGGGGGCCAGTTGGGACCTGGGGAAAACAGTCCAGAAACAAGATGCTCTCTGGCAGTCATATGATTCTTGGCAGATGAAGCACTAGCAAAGCAAAACAACAGTTTACGAGGAAACTTATACTGGTTAGGTCAAGTTGTAGGATTTCAGTCAGGACAAACTACAAATCTTACTTACCCTTTAAACTTCTGGAATTTGGTTGTATTTTTGTTGTGACCATCCAACATCATGAACAAATAAATGCTAAGATTTTGAACAGCCAGATTTTGTCATAAGGCCTGAGAGGGTTGGACACAGTAATTGGCCTCAAAACCAAAAGCCAGGGCTTGGGTCCATGGGCAGTGAGGGAACAGAGTTCCCTGGGACTGTACTCTGGGCCCAGAGTTTGCTCCTAGAGGAAGGGAGAGTCCAGTGGTTTGAATTTTCTTTTCAACTTGTTGCCATCTTGAGGGCTGCTCTCAAGTACTGCCACTTTTTGTGTGATGTCCCCTCTTCACATCTAGACATTGAACTTACCCAGAACATGTGAATTCCACAGAGTGGACAGGTCAGACATCAAGCAGCAGACTGAAGTCAGATGACACCCTCTCTCTGTGCCCCATGGCTGGACTTTGGAGGAGGGCTGGGGTGACGTTAGAGAGGAAAGGGATCTTGGAGACATGCTGTAGGGCTTGATTGCATCACAGCTCCTGTGACAAAGGCGGCCAGTTTAACTGACAGTATGTGTGGAGGCGGCAGTAACTCTGCTCCCTGGTTACAGATTAGGCCTCAAATGTCATAGTCTCCAATGTGAGCAGCTTCCATTGGCAGGAAAAGGTAGGAGATGGGAATGGTATTTCACGTATACTTTTGGCTGTTCCCATATTTACAGCAAAATACTTTCACATAAGTTCCTGTCTTTGGGCCTTATGATAACACTTTGTTATGGGAAGGCTGGAAGACTACCAAGAACTGCATTTCTGAAGGCGAGGACACGGAAGATGGGAGATGTGATGGAGAGGAATGTTTTTAGTGACCATACTGTGCCACTTTGTATGGTCCTGGGTCCAGAGCATCGTTCTTAGCTTTCAGAGGAAGACATAGGTTCAAATTCACAAGGCTGTTAAGTGGTGGAGCCAGGATTTAAACACAGAGCCAAAGTCCAAGTTGTCATGCTATTGGTGGGAGTGTTGGGAGGCCAATCTGGCAAAATAGAACAAAATGAAATATGCACTTACTTTTGACTCATTGAATTCCACATGTAAAAATTTACCCAATGTTTATGTTGGAACAGTAAAACTTTATAAAGAAATATGCACAAAGATGTTAGTTTTAACTTTCTAAAAGCAAAAGACTGGCTAGAACGTAAATGTCCATCACTAGAGGAATGGTTAGATGATGATGATCTATCCAAGCAATGGAATCCGATGCAGCTTTCCCAAGGACTGAGTGGCGTGGTGTCTTGGTTATGCAGACAAGCAATGTGTGTGTGTATGAGTTTTATGTGTGTGTATGGAATAACATCTTAGAAAAAACATACCTCATATCCTGGAGAGCCTGTGAGCTCCATCCTCATGCAGGCTGAGCCCTGGTCCTCCTTGTGGCTCCCTGGAAGCCAGAGAATCTCACCCAGGAATCTTTTATCCTCCCTGGAGATAGAATATCTTCCAACATGATTTGTTACTTGTTAAGGTGGAACGAAGTATGAGTATTCACAACACTTAATTGTGCTCATGTGGAATCTGTACATGGACCAAGAGGCAGTTGTTCGAACAGAACATGGAAACACTGAACGGTTTAAAATTAGAAAAGGTGTGTGGCAGGGTTGTATTCTTTCACCATACTTATTCAATCTGTATGCTGAGCAAATACTCCAACAAGTTGGGTTATGTGAAGAAAAACGTGGCATCAGGATTGGAGGAAGAGTCATTAACAACTTGTGATATGCAGAGGATACAACCTTGCTTGCTGAAAGTGAAGAAGACTTAAAATACTTACTGAAGAAGATTAAAGACATAGCCTTTGGTATGGATTGCATCTCAATGTAAAGAAAACAAAAATCCTCACCACTGGACCAATAAACAACATTCTTATCCGTGGGGAAAAGATTGAAGTTGTCAAGGACTTCATTCTTGGATCAACCATCAACACTCATGGAAGCAGCAGTCAAGAAATCAAACGATGTACTGCATTAGACAAATCTGCACAAGACCTTTTTAAAGTGTTGAAGAGCAAAGATGTCAGCTTGAGCAGTAAGGTACGTTTTTAACCAAGCCACGGTATTTCCAATGAACTTCATATGCATGCAAAAGCTGGACAATGAATAAAGAAGACTGTAGAAGAATTGATGCATTTGAGTTATGGTGTTGGAGGAGAATGTTGAAAGTGCCATGGGCTGCCAAAAGAACCAACAGATCTGTGTTGGAAGAAGTGTAGCCAGAGTACTCCTTGGAGGCCAGGATGGCCAAACTTCATCTCTTATACTCTGGACATATTGTCAGGAGGGACCAGTCGCTGGAGAAGAATATCATGTTTGGTAAGGTGGAGAGTCAGAGAAAAAGAAGATGGATTGGGAAAGTGAGATGGATTGGGAAAGTGGCAGCATCAGTGGGGTTAAGCGTGGCCAACAATTGTGAGGTTGACCCAGGACAGATCTGTTGTACACAGGGTTGCTATGAGTCGGTACAGACTCGATGGCAGCTAACAACAATAAGGTGGAGTTTCAGGTAAGGGATCTAGAATGAAGGATTCTTAGGAAGCCACCAGTCATACTCTGATGGGGCTTCAGTGACTGTCTTCTTCCCCCTTACCCAACAGAACTGGTGATTTGTGTTGTTCACCCAGCACATTGCCTACACGACCCCACCGCTCAGCACATCACACAGTACTGTCCTGCCTTTTTTCCTATTGGCAAAGGGCTTGAAAGCAAAGACCATTAACTTCTTTCTTTCTGTCCCTAGCACCTAGGGTAGCATATCCAAGACATGGACAACATCAGGGAATATCTCCTATCCCTCCAACCCCAGTATTTAGGATCCCTGGTGGCACTGTGGGTTAGGCATAGGTAGCTAACTGCAGGGTCTGGTTCAAACCCAGCAGCCTCTCTTTGGAGGTAGGATGAGGCTGTCTACTCCCTGAAAGATTATTATAGTCTAAAACCCTATGATGCACAGGGTCATTATCAGTTGGAATCAACTAAGAAGATTTCAAAGCAGGCCCAGAAGTACCTTATAAGAAGTGTTTTTTTTGAAAAACCTGTTGACCAAATGTTTTAACACTAAGGAAACATACCAACTTAATTCCACTTTTTTTTTATTATTCAACATTTTATACATAATAAATACAAAGTTTTTACAGCCACTGTAGAAAGCACATCTGCACAGAGGTGTCCTCTGAGCCCAGCCCTGTGCATTGTGATGCTAGATTACATGTCCTGGAGGAAGGGGTTATTTTTAAAAAGGAGGCATATTTTTACAACTTTGATTTTTAAAATAAAATTAGCAGCTCTTCCAAAAAATACTTTAAAATATAACAAAAATTTTCAAATAATCTCTGAGAATCTGGAACTCCCAAATTGAAGGACAATTTGGCTAGCTAGAGAGAAAATATAAGACTGGGTAGCAAGACAGAACTGCTTGGTTTAAGCACTTTGAAGATTTTAAACAGGTTGACATACTTTTAAATCTTAAAAAAACCCAAAAAACTACCCTTTTAAATCATTTTAAAACTTAAGAATAAGTTTGATAAACAACAATAAAAAAAGACCTCAAATAGATCAACAGGTTAAGAAATGCAAAAAACAAATTTAAACAAAAAAAAAACCCCCAAGGCATGGAGAAGATATTTCAGTGGGTGTTGTCACTTAAGTGATCAAATGAATTAACTGAAAATTTCTTCAGTTATGACCTTACTTTTGGTCAAAAATCCCATGGGGACGTTTGGTGAGCATTTCAAGTCTTAGAGATTCCTAGGAGGCATAAATTTTTCAAAGCATACACCCAAGTTTTGGATAACATTCTGCAAATTTGTCTGATATCTTAAAAAAATGAAAAAAAGAAACTGGCAAAAATCCCTTTGTCCCGAGGTCAAGCACTCCCTGTCTTCCATAGGAGGTGGGGCGCCCACAGTCCTCCTCTGGGACATCTGCTGAGAAAGCCCCTCCCGGTTCTCCCTGCGACACGGAGAACTTGTCTTGTCAGCATCAATTTGCAATTGTGCAGTATGTGCAGTCCTCTAGTCCTTTGCATTAAGAAGCTGGTTTCCTCCATGAGCCCATAGGTTCTTTCTCCCTAAGGAGACCTCAGGTCAGTGGGACCTGGGAAACTGTACTTTCCATGGTGAGTGGCAGCTGGTCTGGGCCAGAGCACCAACTTGGGAATAAAATAATGCTAGGGGTTAGCTCAGTAGAAGAAGCTCAGCAACGCAAGTCTGTGTGCTTAATGTGTCTAGACATTCAGATTCTAACGTTGGCCAGAGTCAGAAGATTCTATGCTGCAAAAAATTAAGATGAAAGAACACTCCAATACAAAAAGAACATTAAATTGGCTCATTTCACATCTGGAAGCTCCATTTCTGCTTTAGCCATAGCCTCCTTTCTATTAGTCTATGTGATGAACAAGACGTGGCTACTAGTTCAGCCCCTCCATATTGGCTCCACTAATACTAAATGAATGGCATAAATATCAATACAAAGGACACTGTTATTGTTTTAATCTGTTAGTTGTAGAAGAGATGTGCATTACTGCAATTGGCGCTAAACTCAGGGCAGTCTTTTTTATTTCCAATACAGTTTGACTTTGTCTGGGCATTAACTGCGGTGAGGAGCCAGCCTCTCCTGAAATCCCTTCTGATGCCTTATATGGCCAACATAATCTGATTAATACTTAATCAGACGAGCAAAAGCCACTTGAAGAAAGATGAGAATCTTTGCCACATCCTTGTGGCCACAGTAATATACTGTACGAGTGCACATGGTCATTATCTCTGTGACTGTGCCCTGGACCCAGGCCTGGTCTTGAGTCTCATAGAAAAACAGACCACTGTTAGACAGGAGGGCTACCCCTCACTGCTTCTAGGGCCCACTAAGATTTGTGCTATGGTAGGAGAGATGACGTAGAAAATGACAACAAAAAGGCACAAAATATTCATAAATGTGGGAGAAGTCCACTGGGCCACCCAGTCACATACAATCCTCCTTGTTTTTGCTCTGTTCAAGAGTCATCATCATGCAAAGGTGCCGAAAACACAAGACTGGCCAAACTTCAAGCCTGGCCTTGATTGTAGCAGACATGGATGAGCTACCCTGCCATCACACCAGCGTGATCTCCACATCTTCCATCTTCTCTGCCGGCCTCCGGTGGTTCTGCGTTGGGGGAGGGGGAGCTGCCCGGACCTGAGCAAGGAAACAATCATGGGAATTTCAGTCAGCTTCTGGTCTTGGTGCCTGAGACATCAACCACTCATTTATCCAAGGACGTGGGTACCCTGGGATTGCAGAAATGCTCTGAGCACGCACTTTCCAACTAATCCTATTTTCCACACTATGAAGGAGGTAGTGGAGGCCGGAATTACATTCCCAGTCAATGTGCCTCAAGTACAGTCACCACTTGTCTGTCAGTGAAGTCTTGCACGTTCTTATGTTGCTGAACAAGTTGCAGGGGCTCTACCAGATTAAGACAGTCTAGGAAGAGAAGCCTGGTGATCTATATTTGAAAGGCAGCAAGTGCAAACCCTCTGGATCACAATGGTCTCATCCCACTGTGCATGTGGCTGCCTTGAGTCAGGGCAGCTAATAAGAGTGAGCTTTTGTTCTGGATGCAATGTCCAATCCATGAACTGGGGTCTTGTATACGCTGAAAGCTTCATGGGAACCACAGTTTTGAGTGCAAGAGACACTTTAACTCTTAAGAACCTTTTCCAAAACAAAGTCCTGGGAGCAAGTGAGAGCAATGCTCAGAGAACTGAAAACATTTCAGCATGTTTTGGGAAGAGAGAAGGCTAGAAAGGTAGGGTGGGGTTACGCAGTGAAGGCTTTGTTAAGAAATCTGAGCTTTATTCTGTGGATTGCAAGTATGAGAGCAGCAGTATGTGGTCTGTGAAATGATGACTTTATAACTTTAGTAGCAGTTTGTAGACCAGATGGGAGGTGGGCAGGAGTATAGGAAAGATGATACCTCAGGAGGCGGTATCATCTAAATGAGAGTTGAAGTTAGTCTGATCTAGGACAGTGGTAGTGGGGGAAGGGGAGAAGTTGAGAGACTGACAGCTGGCCTTGGGACAAACCTGGCAGGATTTGGTGATGGCTGTGGGAGGCAGAGTCAGGCAGTACAAGAATACTAGAGCACTGGTAGGATGGGGCTCCACTTCCTAGACAGGCACTACAGAAGGGGCATGTCTGAGAGGAAAAATGAAAAGCTCATTTTTCTTGAGTTTTTGGGGCCTGGGACATATAAGTTGAGATGTCCACAAATCCAAAGCTCAGGGAAGAGACGATAGCAAGAAATACGGGAATTTTAAGTACATAAATGGTGAATTTAATGATAAGAAGTTCAGGGACAGAACCCTGAAAGGCATCAGCATCTTAGAGAGGAACAGAAAAAGAGAAGTCTGCAAAGGCCAATGAAAAGGGCGGGACAGAAGGGATGTAGAAAGAAAACCAGGGAAGTGAAACAAATCTGTGTGCTCTTCATTTCTGCTGTTACCCACCAGTCCACACCACCATAACCTCTTGCTTGTTCCAAGGCTCCAGTCTCCTACTGGCTCCCCCACATCCATTCTGCCATCTTCAGTTCACTCTCCACTTAGATGCCATAATACACTTGATGAAAATGCTTCACTGCCCTGCATAAAGTCTTTCCATACCTTCCAATCACATTAGGATCAAGAATTAAATCCTCACCAAGGTCCATAAGGTCCTAGCTGCTTATACAACTCTATAAAATAATTGTGTGCTCAGGACCTGTTTCCTCCTGCTATCGTGAAGATCAGCTCCATGTGGCAGTCTGACTCGGGTGATGCAGCTGGCACCATGCAGGTGCTCAGTATATATCTGCTAAATGAAGGAAGCAGCTCAAAGAAAGACGGCCAATGTTGATAAGGAGGTAAACAGAATTGCAAAGTATCCACTGGATCAGCAATGTGAGAGTTCTGACTTTGGTGAGAGGTGTTGCATAGTGTAGTGGTGGGTGGAAGTGAGGCTGCACTGAAGTCAGGAGTAAAGGTAAGTGCTTGTAACAGCATATTCTCCAGGAGACCAGGAACTCTTTGAGGACATGAAGTGAATCTTATTTTAGTCCCCCAGAGGTAAATAAAGGCCTGGTAAATGGGTTCTCAATGAATTCTCACTGAAACAAGGAGCTTCTGTTCACAACTGATTACTTTATCCTGGTGTGGCACTGTAGGATCAGCACTGGACAGCTAATCACAAGGCTGGTGGTTCAAACTCACTAGCTGTTCCTTGGAAACCCTACACAGGGTCATTATGAGTCAGAACTGACTCAATGGTACATAACAACAACAATAATGCTTACCGAGCATGTTATAATTTAAATACTTTCACATGATCCTTATCATGGCTAAACAAGAAAAGTTCCAGAGTAACCCAGACCTTCCAAGATGAACTGATTTTTATAGTTCTCCTTTGCACGAGCTTTAGTTACCCTCCTAAACCTATTTCACCCTTGCTGGGAGAACCAGCCACAGCAAAGAGGAACATTAACATTTAATTTTCAGCTTCAAAGACCTATGCACTACGTCGCCTGGCAAGGTAAGAGACTTACAGGTCGCAGTTTGCCATGTGAGGTCTCAGAAGTATGCCTTGGTGCCTGCGAAAATCCTGGAGATTCAGAAGGGAAGCTGTTGTCTAAAGGAAGGAACCAAAGAAGCTTGTTTGGATTTGTGTTAGTAGGCACAATAGACATGCGAATGCAGTTATGTTTGTAGATCTGATTTTTGAAACAAACATGTATTCTGACCCATGCCCAGGAGAACCCTTACCATTTGCTGATGGAGACCGAGGGAAGTACTGGGAACTCCTTTTATCTGGACTTGGGTAAGGGCTGCTGGGAGGCTGGTCGTATAACGGCAGTGGAGGCAGGGAACTGTGAGTCTTCGGGGAAGGAGAGATCTGCATCCAAGGAAAGAAGTTACAAGGTGCTTACCTCAGGCACAGAGAGACTTGCTGGGTTCTCTGACGACAATTACTCTTCTCTGAGCCAGGTTATGGCTATTAAATTTTTGGGGGGGGGTCAGCCTTGTTAGAAGCAAATGGATCCAGAACCATCACTCCAAACCTCAATTTTATATTGCACTGAAATTTTTCCTTTCAGAAATCTCATTATAATACTCATAAATCAAACTATTCTCTAGATTTATATTGAAAACATGTCACATTAACTAGTCAATTCAGCAAATTCATTGAAGGAAAAAAGATGTATCTTTTTTGGGTGAAGATAAGATAACTGGTTGAGATTCTGACTTTCTCTGTTTTGTAAATTAAGGCTAAAGCGCCATAATCACCATAGAAACAAGACAGACAACATGCTTTTATGGTCCTCTACCTGCAAGGTCTGCTATGACAGCTGCTCAGAGAAGACAAATCCAACTGACTGAATCAGGGGTTTCCTGTTGAGCAAACTTTTGCTATGACTGATGAGCCTGGGGCCACATGAATGTGTACTGTGGATCTTTAAAATGGATCAGGAGGATGCAGGCTAAGAAGGGAGGCTCTGACAGAGATAGAGAGAAGGAGACTGGTGATATTTTTCTTTACTACATAAATTAAACATAAGGACCCTACATTCCCTTTCTGGTTTGTTTCTTTCTCTCACCAAGCCATTCTTTGTATGTCACAGTTAATTTAGCATTTTGGTTCATCGATACACACATGAGAAAGTGAAGAGAATGACGGAACAGGATGGCCACATTCTGCTTTCCCAAATTTATTTTTGTGGAAACCTGATGGAGAATCAGAGTGGTAAGGGCCGGGCAGAGCCCCAAACCTGATTTTGGCCCTGGGAATACTTTTCTTCCAACATCTTTTCATTGAGCTCTCTTCCCTCTCATGTACCTGAATATCTCTCATCCGTGGAGTATCACCATTTTCTGAGGCTGACAGTTCTTCCACTAGCACCGATGGGAAAACTCCAACTCGTCCATTGAATTCCCCTTCCCAGAAGCCATCATCATCTTGGTTTTCTTTGTTCAAGATACGAATGATTGCTCCCTCAGGAAAAGATAATTCATCATCTGTCTGGCCCTCATAGTCATAAAGTGCTTTCACAAAACAGACTAGGGAGCAAGAAGGAAAAATCCAGTCAGACTGCTTTTATACCATCCTTCATGCTCACACAACAACAAAAGAACATGAGTAAAGTTCTATGTTTTTACTCACTGAAGATCAACTTCAGAATTCTAAAGTACAGGACAAATGTGACCAAATTAAAAAACAAAACAAAACAGGACTAAGTTATGCTTTTAAAACATACTAGAGGTTTACTCCAGGATAATATAGTTTAGATCAAAGGTGGCCAAATAAAGAGTGCCTTGTTTCAGTCTTTACCGCTGGCATCTCCGTTGAGGCTGCCTGAAACGAGTTCAGCTTCCGTGGAATTGCTGGATGTGTGTGAACGACTGTCCAAAGCAGCCAGAGACTGCAGCATGCTCAGGAGGCTGTTCGAGGTGGGAAACTGCAGGTACTTTTCTGGCACATAACCCACTTGGCCAACTTTATTTCGAGCCTGGGTGAAAGACAGGTGACAAACCAGGTTTACACACACAGTTTGGACAGCATGTAAGAAGAACCAAAACAAACTCCTATAAATATCACGAGGAGGGGTGATATGAGCAAAGGAATATACCTTTACCCAGTCTTCCATATCTCCATCTTCAATCACTTCTAACACCTCATGTTCCTCAATGGTCAACTCATCTGGTTGAGAAGCCTGCAATGTAGGATGGTCATGGACAAAAATAAAAAGGTTAGATAGAGAGCAGATGTGAGCTGGTTATAACAAAAACGGGATCAAAATATTGAAATGATTTTGAAAAATTTTTTGAACATAAAAATTTAAATGCAGTAGGGCTATCATAATGAGATGAAGTTTTATTTTCAAAAACAAACAAAACGAAGCACCAACGAAAGCTGGCGGATCTGGGTGCTTGAGGCAGTCAGGTTTAGTAAGCATAGCACCGCACTGGCAGTAGAAGACCTGGCTTCAAGCTCCTATGAATGGATCTGTCAGTAAGTTATTCAATTCGTGAGGCCTCCATTTCTTCACAATGACAATCCTGTGTTCTCTGGAGGGAGGGAGGGGGCTCACTGTGGGATGAATAAACACATAAGCATGATGACCTGCAAAGCACAGTCAGAGATGGAAGCACTCAATGAGAACTGCCAGCAGAGGGCTACAATGAGGCGCATGCCATGAAGATGTAGAGAGCTATATATGTGGATGAGACGAGTGACCCTGAATCACTGTAAAACGGGGCCCAGAGGGAGAAAGTTGTGGGAAAGGATGTGAGGTTAGTCACGGAGCCCTGGTGTGGCGCTGTAAGATAAGCACTTGACCACAAGGGTCATTGTGAACTACAAGGTCGGAGGTTCAAACTCACCAGCTGCTCCTTGGAGACCCTATACAGGGTTGCTCTGTGTCAGAACCAACCCGATGGCATTTAACAACAACTTTTAAGTGTAGAGACTGGGCTGGTCCACGTGAATGTCTCTGTACAAGCTCTTAACTGTGGTGACTTTATTATTCCTGACAGTGGGATCTAAGAGCACCAGACAATATATTGCGCAGGAGACCTTAGAATCGGAAAGCAACCTCTCAGAGGCTCTGCAGAGAGGTGGGGGTCAGAGAGTCTGTTTGGCTTTGCTTTCTTAAGAGGCTTGCTTTTCACATATAACAGACAGGGGCCTGCTGGCATCTTATAGTCCTAAAAGCTTTCCCCAAGTTCCAAGATCCACCAAAACTATCACCTAAGACTACATACAGCTTTTCAAATCTCATAATCTCAAAGTGTTGTTACACAAACAAAAATACGTTAAGAAAATGGGTTACCTTCCTGAGACCCATTTCTCATTTCCAAAACATCATAACATTTCATCTAAACCAAGATCCTGGACATTGCAAAGGCTTTGTGAGATAGTCACTGAAAAGGACCCCAGGAATGTATTTTTAATTAAATAACACCATCTCAAAATATAAGGAAGAAATGCTAATTAGCTCCTGATAAGCTTTTCAACAGTTTCTTTGCTACTCTGAAATTATACTCTGCATTGAATATATCAACACAAGGCACCAATATAACATAGATTTTCTCCCATAATTCCACAGCAAGATACTAAGTGTCAACACAACCAGACTTAAATATGTGTGAGAGAGCAAAGCATGAGGGATAAGAGCACCTTTACACACGTTGCTGCCAATGTAAAAAAAAACTTCATGGAAGTTCAGGTGAGTTATCCACATTGTTATACAATAGCAGAGACTAGCTTCATCACACTGTTCCCCTGGGGGGACAGCCAACTTTTCCACTTAGGAGGCCAAGTCCATGGTCTATAGGAGTTATTCTCAGGTTTAAAGACACTCTTTATTCTAACCTATCCTCTAGAGTATTTTTTACCATGACCAGAGGTACCTTCTTAAAAGCCAAATATAATTTTAGGACATCTAAGGTTCCTCCAGGAGTGTGGTGGCTCTTCAGGATAAGCACTGGAATGTGAGCTAGAAAGCCCACCCTGGGAGAAAGATGAAGCTGTCTGCTTCCACAAAGATTCACATTCTCAGAAACCTTATACAGGGTTCACTATGAGTCGTAATTAACAAAAAGGCTCCTGAAGTGCTTAGGATAAGCACTGGACTGCTAACCACAAGGTCAGCAATTCAAACCCACCAGTCACTGCTTGGAAACTCTATACTGGGTTGCTCTGAGTTGGACTTGATTCCACAGCACTTAACAACAACAACAAAGGCTCTTACTAGTGTCATAGTGGGTTAAGTGTTGGGCTGCTAACCTCAAGGTCAGGAGTTTGAATCCAACATTTGCTCTGAGTGAAAAGATGATACAGTCTGCTCCTGTAAACATTTACAGCCTTGTAAACAGTTCTACTCTGTTCCATAGGGTGGCTATGAGTTGGAGTTATAGCAGTGGATTTCACAGTTGTTTTTTTTAAGGCTTCAAGAACATAAGTTGATATGGAAAATGTTCCTTGTCAAACCAAGTTAACAACTTTATTCATGACAATACATATCTACATACAAACAAGGTTCCTCCCAGTCAGGATAAAAAGCAGCCATGTTTACTTCCAGCTGCTCTCCTTTCCACCCTTGATGTTCCCACAGCACTGAGTCGAACCTGAATCTAGTATTTCCTGAAGACGCCACCCTGTCATTACTCTATCTCAGGATCTGCTGTTCTCTCTGCTCAAAAGGCTCTTTCCTCTCTCTGCTCTCACAGAGTATCTAGAAAGGTCTTACTCATGACCAAATTTAAATGTCACCTCATCTGTAAAAGGCATCCCAAAGAGCACAGATTTAGCAGTTTTACCTCTACTATAAACTCCCCCCCCCTCCCATTGAGGCCTTTTATTCCGATATTGTTGATGCTTAAAGAAAATAGCTTTGCCCATAGATCATGGTGGCCTGGACTTCTGACACCAACATGTATCTGACCGACTGGGAATCAGACCAAACTGTATTCTTCTTAGGTCAAGTCAGTTGATAAATGGCACTTAACCGCTTATTTCTTTCAAACAACCTTCAACAAGAACTCATAAGTCACATTGATTATGTCCCAAGAGATGAGGGAGCGATGGTAATTCAGATGGGCACCTCTGAAAAGATTGGTCACTTTTTTTGAAAACCCTGGGGAAAGACTGATATTCCCGACCAATCTGAGACTGCATGCGTGTTTTTACATTAATTGGAAAAAAAACAAGAATCCAAACACGGCACCCTGTAGGCCTCCCCAGATAAAATCATTGACCCAATGAGCACTGTGAGACGTTGCAGTAGGCAAATACTCCTTAACGGGGCCTGAAAAAAAAAAAGGGCATTGCTGGATTCGTAACCGAGAAGAATGGGCACCAACCCTCAACAATACTCTCTAATTCCATGGCACTTTAGTGCCTAGAAGGCCTGATAAGTGTTTGTAAATTTGTCATGATGCTTGTGGTCTTGAAGCAATGTTTGCACTCTTTCCAGTGGATGAAAATTGCTTCTGCCGTCCCTGTAAGTACGGCTACAAGTTGCTAACTCTGGAGTACTGACATGTTTCCGGAGAAGGCGGGATAAATCCTCATACAGACCAAACATAAGAGCCAGTGTAATTGTCTTCTGCATTAATGGAGGAAGGATCCTTCGATACAAGTTTCAGAATTCAGTGCTCCTCAACTGAAGTACTGCATCCTGGGTTTTGATTCCATATAGCTGCTGCCGAAGCAAGACCTTCTGAATGGGAAATGTGATGACAATATTGTTGAAGGCTGTACAGCAGCCACAAAAGTAATGCTTCATTTGACCAACACTTGTCATGTGAAGTGATGTGTCTTGTTTGGAAGATGCTAGGATTGGTGGCCTCTTTTCATGAGCTTCTGAATCCATTATGTTACTTAAAATCTTTCTTCTTCACGAAGGCTTTTTTAAAACCTGGTTGGATCCACAGAGCACAACAGTGGCAGGATTCAAATCTCATTGTTCAGCCCCATGATGAGGTGAGCCACCCCATCTCAGTGTCCCAAACTTCTTGTTCATTTGCAGACACTTCACCTTTGACAGAGGGCTGGAGTGTTGCTTACAACACTGTGCCTGGTGTTTTGGGGGATGGTAGTGTTCTGGTAACTTTCCCAATTTCTTCCATTCTGGGGTCAATTTTGATAACTAGATTTCCCATGGCCACTGACATCCTGGCCCCACCCCCAGTAGTCACCTGCCAGCAGGTCAGTGAGCGAGTCCTCTACTATAAACTTTTCATACACGTTGTATTTTTAAGGTTAATTTTATTCCTCCCTAAACTGTTCATTCCTGGAAGGCAGGAACTGATGTTTAACATAATTATTCTTGTATCCCCCCAATTTATCACATATTGGGCAGAGAATATTTGTTCAATGATTACCTGACTAGATAGTTTTACACCTGGGTTTATTCCAGGCACATGTCTGAGATATACCAACAGAGAGGATATCTGCAGTGTGTGTGCTGTTTATAATCACTGAGACATTTAGGACCTTTACCACCTTAGGATCTTATATTTTAGTTCTGGAACTTTTAATTAAATTTAATACTGAGAGGTGACATGGGGAGACATTTCCAGCCCTAGTTTTATGATACCTGTAACACCTTCCCAAATATCTTAGAAGATGGCTTCAAATTTTCAAAATATTATCAAAACAATTTATACTGGAAAAAAAAAATCCCACCCATTTTTGGAAGAGAAACTATTATGAATTTAGGTATAAAATGAAAGGATGTTGTCTCAAAAAGCCTGAGACTCATTGATATTGGGGGCTAACTGGTGCTAACCTTTGGATCTCAAGGGTGCTGGTGGCGAGACTGAGCTGATTTAGTGTGGGATTATTGGAGATTCTCTCCAGGTACTTCCTCTGTGGTTCCTTATCGTTATCCTTTCTCATCAGAATGGGAGCTAGAGAAGGAGTCACTTGTTCATGTCTTCTTTACACCATTCATTTATTCATCCCACAATTATTTAAGGAGGACCTACTATGTGCTAACTGCAAGGTCCGAAGTTCAAACCCATTATTTGCTTTTTAGAAACCCTATGTAGGAGTCCTGGTGTGGTGTTGTGGGTTAATGCACCAGACTGCAAAGCCGTTTGAACTGCAAGGTCGGCGGTTCAAGCTTACCAGTTGTTCCTTGGAAACCCTATATAGGGTCGCTATGGGTCGAAATCGACTAGACGGCATTTAACAACAACATGTAGGGTCAGTGTGAGGTGGAAATGATTTGACCTGGCACTTAACAACAGCATGTGCCAGGCACTGTTCTAGGTGCTGAAGACACTTAAGCACAGACAAGGTTTCTGCCTTCATTGACCTGCGATGAGGATCTGGACAAAGAAATATGAGAACAAATACCATAGTTCTGACTAGTGATAACTGCTATAAAATAAGCCAAACAGGGCAGTTGGGTAGAAAGTAGTGACTAAGGAGTTGGTTAAGCAATTAAGGTGGTCAGGGGAGGCCTGAGGAAGCACTGTTTAGCTGAGCCTTGATGAGGAGCAGTGAGCTGTCAACAGAGGTTTAGAGAAAGAGAGTTCTAAGTAGAGGGAGCAGTAAGTGCAATGTTACCAAGTCAGGAAGGAGCCTGGTGCTCCTGAAGATTCAAAGGCAGCAAGCCAGAACAGCTAAAATATAGTGAATGCATTGGGTGGGCATGGTCTCAGATGAAGCTGGGGAGGCTGGCGGGAGCCAAATCATGCTGGTCATTACCGACTCTAGTGAACAGACTGATTGCTTTCCTACACAAGATGGAAAGCTTATAAAGGATTTTAGGCAAGGGAGTAAAATAATCTTCTGTAGAGCATCCTGGTGTGGTTCAGCAAAGGACTATACCAGCTGCTCCTTGGAAACCCTATTCAGGGTCTCTATGAGTAAGAACCAACTCCAAGGCACTTAACAACAACAACGTGTTGACGATAATTCTGGCTTGAGTGAAGAATGAACTGTTGGGAGGCAAGAATGAAGTAGGAAGTCCAATTTTGAGGCTTTTTGTTGTTTTGGTTTTGTTTTTATGGCAGTCAGAGCATTGGCCTACATGGCAGCAGACGTGGTTAATGTTAAAAGTGAATGGGTCCAGAACAAATTTTGGATGTGTACTCGACAGAACTGGTTGGTGGGCTGGAGGAGGGAGGCAAAGGCAAGAAGATCCGAGGAAGTAAAACTCAATTTACTTTGCGCTGAGTAAACAGTTAATGAGAAAGCAGGGCAGGGTTAAGAGAGGTTAAGAACTACAAGAAATCAGGTTTGAAAAATCTAGGTCCCTGCTTGACATAGATAAAAAGGGTGATTATATTAGGATAAGGAAAGGCCAAGTTTTAAAAGCTTTGTAAAAACAATCCTCCTTTGATATCAATTTTGAGGGTTAGCCTAATAAGGTACAGTCTTATGCTAATCAGGCAATTAATATAGGTAAGAGTTCTATTTACTGACAACTTATTAGATGCCACTTTGTTATGAGAGTATTATCTCATTTAACCCTCACATTAGCCCTATAATATATTCCCATAATAAAGATACAGAAACAGAGGTTCACAAAGACAAAGACTAGAGGAGGATCAGATAGCTTGGAGCAGCACACAGTAAACAGTCTGACATCAGCTCTTCATCACTATGTTCTGCTACTTCTAATAGTAACTGAGCACCAATTTTAAGCTAAGCATAGTATGAAAGACTGGTAGATACAATTGTGAGTATCCTCAGAGTTGATACAATTTAATATCAGCACTAGGTCAGAGATACACAAACCTTGTAGGAATAAACAACTTTGCAGGTGAGTGGATAATTTCTTAAGGTGCCAGAAGGGCTAGAGCTGCTGTCATCAAAAGCCTCCATGTTGTCTTCAAACTCTTCTTCTTCTCTGTCAGCATCTGCATTAAGCTAGGAAAAATTAGAAGCCATTGATTAGTTTCCTCACCTCAAGAAAATGGTTGAAAGTAGGAGAAAACACTTAAAATTTGATGGTTTAAAATATTAATTTACCTACTCAACTCTACATATAAACGACTGTTCTTAGTTGCGGCTTTCATGTTATGAAAGAATAGGGGTTTTTCTTCTTTTGAAATAAGGATAAAACTATAAAACATATAAGAAACATGTATCACCAGACTTTCACTATTTTTACTGTTAAGTACTAATAAAGGCTTCTTATAATTTTTAACTAATCAGACTGAGAAACATTAAAAAAAGACTTATAAATGCTACCAAGGATGTGGAGCAACAGGCTTTCATTTATGGTGTAGAAATGGAATTGATATATTCTTTTTGGAAAATAACTCACCTACTAGAATTTAAAAAACAAAAAAATTTACTACTTGATCAAGCAACTCTGCTTTTGTGGATCACTATACAGAAATAAGAGTACCAGTATGTAAGAGTATATGTTCTAGGATGTTTTCTGCAACAATGCTGTACTGGCAAAGGCCTGGGCACAACTTTCATGTTCATCAATAGGGGAATGGTTGAGTAAATTATGTCACATTCATATTACAGATGAATAACACCCATGAACGAGTCCTGGTGTGGGTAAATGCACTGAACTGCAAAGTCGGCTTGAACCATAAGGTTGGTGGTTCAAGGTCACCAGCTGCTCTTCAGAAACCCTATGCCAGGTCACAATCAACTTGATGGCACTTCATAACAACAACAACAACAACAACAAACACCCATGAAAATTGAGTTAGATCTGAGCAGTTTCACCAGGTGCATTAATGTTGCCAAGCATCAATAATGTCTATAGGAGCACAGAACCTGATGGGGAGGCAGAGTGAGACAAGTAAAGACTGAAGAGTAGATGACATGAATTGTTAAAATAAGTATATTTTACTTTTTAAATTAAAGTTAGGAAAACTTCTTAGACATAATCACACACCTTGAAGGAATGAGTCCCTGGGCATTGGGGCTAGGACCATAGTCTCAGGAGGACATCACGTTCAACTGGCAAACACAGTCAACATAGATAATGGTCTACATGCTACTTTAGTAAGTAGTGACTGGGGTTTTAAAAGCTTGTGAATGGTCATCTAAGGTTCAACTATTGGTCTTTCCCCATCCTGGAGCAAAGAAGTGTGAAGAAAATAAAAGACTCAAGGAAACCGTCCAAAGAACTAATGGACCACTTGAATCCCAGGCCCCATGACCCTGAGACAAGAAGAACTAGATGGTGCTAGATTACTACCTACTACTGGGAAAAGGAAGGAGCTCTGGTACTGTAGTGGTTACAAATCAGGCTGCTAACCTTAGGGTCAGCAGTTCGAAACTACCAGCTGTTCCACGGGAGAAAGATGAGACTTTCTGCTCCCATAAAGATTTACAGCCTCGGAAACCCAGTACAGGGTTGCTATGCGTCAGAACGGACTCCATGGCACATAACAACAACAACTCTGAAAGGGATTACATTAGAAGATCCTGGGTAGAGTGGGAGAAAAATATGGAACAAAACTCAACATCATAAAGAAGACCAGGCTTATTGGTCTAACAGACTGGTGGAACCCCTGAGATGACAGCCCTTAGACATCCTTCAGGCCTGGAACTGAGCTTAGTGGCTTAATTTTCAGTCAAACAACAGACAGACCTATAAAGTGAACATTAATTAACACCTGCAAGGTAAGCACTCCTTACAACAGTCAACCATATGAGATCAAAGGGCAGTGTTTGCCAGGGATAAAGATTAAATGGTAGGAAGGGACAGATGAGAAGGTCAAATAGACATGGTAAATGCAGGGAGAAAGTGCGAAAAATGCTGTTGCATTGTGGGAGTTACAATCATTGGCACAAAACAAAATGTGTGACTTGTTGAATAGAAACCAATTTGCTCTTAACTTTCACCCAAATCACAACAAAAAGTTAAAGAAAGAAACAGGAAAAAATCCAATAAAGAGAAAACAAAACAGTTCAAAGGGGTGTGGAGAGACTGGAACCCTCCTACATTGCTGGTGGGACTGTAAAATGGTTCAACCACCCTGGAAAATGGTATGGAATTTTCTCAGAAAGTTGGAAATAGAAATACCTTATGTATGACCCAACAATCCATCAAGAAATACAAGTTAGGACACTAGTAGATATATGCACACCAATGTTCATCACAGCTGTATTCACAAGAGCAGAAAGATGGAACAGCCTAAATGCCCATCAATGGAAGAATGGATAAACAAACTTTGGCACAGACACACAATGGAATACTAAGCAATGTTGAAGAATAACAATGAAGCGTGAAACACCTCATAACCTGGATGAATCTGGAGGACATTATGCTGAGTGATGTTAGTCAATCACAAAAAGACAAATATTACATGAAACCATTATTATAAAAAACTAAGAAAAGGTTATCATACTAAAAGAAACACTCTTTGATGGTTACTAGGGGTGGAGGGGAGAGAGAGTAATTCACTGGCTAGAGGGCAGACACATGTTAGCTCAGGTGACAGGAAGGGCAATATACAAGAGGGAGGGTGGCAGAAGAATGATAAAGATAGGTGAAGACACAAGGAGGTATGTATGCATGGGCTAAAGAGGATAGAGGTAAATAGTGATATATACACAACCTTGGAATAGCAGTGCTCTGTGAGTAGAAACATAGGATGAATTGGTAAGGGAGGAAGAGTGAGATATACATATATTTATATATCCCACAAATGTGTAAGATTGAAAAATAATATTTGTACATGGGTATTTATCTTTTTGCAAACACCATTATGAATGTAGTGGAGCATACAGAGGGCAAAATGATGAACACTTCTTAGGGATTATCAAATAGCTTAAGGTAATGAGTTGTTGGGTTTAGAGGCTCAGGACCATAGTCTCAAGGGACATTATGGCTAATTGGCATAACATAGTCCACAAAGACAATGTTTTACATTCTGCCTGGGTTAGTAGTGTCTGGAATCTTGAAAGCTTATGAGTGGGCATCTAAGGTGCAGCTATTGATCTCTCCACATGTGTGGAAGAAAGAAGAGTGATAAGAGTTGAAGATGTTCTCTATGGTCTTGGCCACAGAAGCGAGATGACAAAGGGAATATTACTGTTTGGAAAGCATCTCAATAAGACACACGTGTGCTGCTGCTGTGGCTTGGAGGCCTTCCATCTTCAGAAGTTGACCTCTGGCAAATGTGGCTACCCTGCCAAGCACAAGAAAAAGTATAACTGGAGTGCCAAAGCTAAAAGATGAAAAACTACTGGTACTGGCTGAATGACAGACCTAAAAATTGTACACTACAGATTCAGGCATCCACGAAGGGACAGCACCTAAACCTAAGAGGGTAGCTGTTGCTGCAGCACCCAGTTATCTTTAGGATTTCAGTGACTAGTTGTGCAATAAATGTTCTCAGATTAAAAAAAAAAAAAAGAATTGAAGATTCAATGAGTCCAGTGGACTAATGGAACATGTGAACATCAGTCTCCATGACGCTGTGACCAGAACTATATGGTGCCCAGCTACCACTGCCAACTGCTCTGAAAGGGATCATGTTAGATGGAGGTTCCAGATATAATGGGAAAAAACGTGGAACAAAACTTAAAATTATTTAAAAAGACGGTGCTTCCTTTACTGGTCAGAAAGAGACTGGGGGAACCTGCAACTATGAACCAGTAGCATCCTTCAGGCCTGGTAAGGAACTCACTCTCGTGGCCCAATTTCAGCCAAGCAGTAGATGGGTATGTAAGGGGACAATAACACTAGTAAAGAATGCTCACCATGGAATGGTGAGTCATTCAAAAGGTAACATCTTCTTAAGGACAGAGTTGAGGAGGGATGGGAAGGTAGGTGGGATGCAAATAAGAACCACAGGGTGGAAGTGGGATGACTGGTGTTGCATGGAGGAGACTGCTATCACTGAGATGAAACAAAGTGTGTGACTGTTGAATGTAAGACTGATCCTCTTGTCTGTAAACCTTCACTCAATTTACAATAAAAAGCTAAACAAAAAAACAAACACTGCCTCAAAGACCTTTTCTTTGTTTCTTTACATATAAACTTAGCGTCTGCTTGTTCTCAAGTTCAAACACACCAAAGCAGCAATGTTCATGCATTAAGGATACACAGAAGAAAAGTCAGGACTGGACCTCATAGTAAAACCATTAATTGGTTAATCTGAAAAACAAACAAACAAACAAATCCATTGCCCTTGAGTTTATTCCAACTTACAGGGGTCCTATAGGACAAAGCAGAGCGGTCCATAGGATTTCCCAGGCTGTTTACGAAGCAGACTGTGGCAGCTTTCTCTTGTGGATCAGCCAGTCAGTTCAAACCCCCAACCATTCTTTTGGTTAGTAGCCAAGTACTTAACCGCTGTGCCACCAGGACTCCTTCATCAAAGTATCAAAAGTCTACTGTATGCTGAACGCTGAGGGAAAGGGCACAGTCAGCATTCCTGGAGCTCACAGTCTGGAGGGGAGCATGGGCTAAGTGCAGAAGAGGTGAAGGGGAGGCAGCTGCCAGGGAAGAGTTCTGAGATATACTAAGTCTAAAAGTAGAGGTTACCTATAGCTCAAATCCTATTTTTCAGTGAGGCAAGTTCTTTCGAATAGTTATCACTATTTAAAAATGGACTCTCTTCTTAACTGCTCAATTTTATTGTTCTCTAATAAAATTCTATTGAATTGGGGGGAAGAGAGGACTAATCCAGAAGAATAATACTACATTGCTTTGGTCCTTGAAATATTCTCGTTTATAAATATTACTGAAAACTCCCAGCTGAATGAGGTAACCATGGGTTTCATTTAAACAAACAATTCATCTAGGGTCAGTTGGGTGGCAAAACAGACTCAAACCTGGACCTCTCAAATCTCAGCTATGATCCTATTGTTTGTTTTCTAACAAGGTCTAACGGCATTGTGTCATATAAAAGAATAAGGATCATATGCTAGAAATTGTCATAAAATTA